AAATCGTTTATGTCGTTAAACTTCTCGATTTACAGAAACTTAGACGACATCCCTGCTTCGAACCAAAAGCTCTGGTACCAGTTTGTTATGACAAACGCAACGAATCCAAGTTAAATCAAGAATCACGATAGAAAAGTAAACACACCACACAAAGATTTGTACGTGGTTCGGCAACAGCCTATGTCCACGGTCGGAATCCGGTGAAAGTTTTCACTATGTGTAAAATCAGATATTACAAGATTTCAGCCTCTCACTCTGTTTCTATATGACTTCCAGAGTCTCTCTCCCTCAATCTCTTCAGTCTCAACCCACAACATATGTACCTAATTATAGAGTTACAAACATAATTCCTTGTTGGACAAGGATTACAATTCCTTAGAGGCCAAGACTTGTCAAATAAGAAATTATCTAATAGAATATAACTCTAAAATAGAATCCTAATTAGAATAGGAATTTAGGACACAATTTCTAACACTCTCCATTGTGATAATTAGGCAGCTATTCATATTACTAGCAATCCAGTCTACCATGAGAGGACTAAACACATTGAAGTAGATTGCCATTTTATTCGATCTAAAGTTGACTCGAATGAGATTGTTACACCTTTTGTTCCTTCTGGTAGGGTAGCTGGTAGACATCTTCACTAAGACGCTTCCCAAGAACTCTATTGATTCCATATGTAGCAAGCTGGGAGTTATTGACATTTACTCTCCAGCTTGAGGGGGAGTGTTGTACAGTATTGTATGAGTTGTCACATTGTACAGTATTGTAAGAGTTGTCACACGTGTACAGTTAGTATTGTATGAGTTGTCACCTACCCTTCATTACCGTATATAGAATTACCATGTATAGGGTTTACTTGTTCTCCACTTGCCTACTCCCGTAGCTTCTCCTATATAAACACCATTGTATTATTGTATTACTCACTCAATAAGATATATGTTTTCATATACTCTCTCTCTCTCTCTCTCTCTCTCTCTCTCTTTCAACAATTCTTAATGACTGGTTTTTCTCTTCTTCTCTATAATTGCCTCACTTAGTCAATTTGTTCGAAAAAAGGGGAGAAAGATGGATAAGTAATTCAGGGGGGATTTATATAATTTTATTCTATTAAACTTTCACTGGTAGTTTTGCTTGATGAATGTGCAGGAAATTAGGTTAACTTTTATCCGGATAAGAGAAGAGAATAGGAAAAAATTTCCGTGATTAAATTCAAGTTGTAATCTGCTTTTTCTGCTTGAGTAGATTATATTTGTTTTTAGGGTTTGTCACGAAATTGGCAAAGGGGGAGATTGTGAGATATATATTTTGTAATTGGCTAATTTCAGTGTCAAAACAAGTCCAATCGAGTTGTATTTTCAAGTTTAAAATTCAAAATCGAGATCGGCTACGAAATTGAAGAGTTGTTCATGTTACTTTTAATCCGTGTACCCGTGTCCTATAATTTGATACATAGATGGATCCGACCTCTAGATACATACCTGTGTCCGACACCCGTACCTGAGTCCATGTAACATAGCTTTCAGGATCTCAAAACGAAGATGACAATTGGTGGCAGCATTGCGAAAAATGGTCTATATTACTTGAATTGTGAGTCGCCTACTCGTGGTATTGCTCTCCATTCACAGGTCTCTGCCACTGCCCAACAATGGCATTATCGATTGGGTCATCCGTCCTTGAGGTACTTGAAGTTTGCCCTTCCTTCTCTTGGGTCAGTGCCTACTTTAGAATGTGAGTCGTGTCCATTAGGCAAGCACCATAGAGTCTCATTTCCTCCCTGAGTTGATAATCATTGGTCTTCTTTGTTTGAATTGTTACATACAGACATATAGGTCCTGCTCGGCATGTTAGTCGGTCAGGTTTTTCATATTTTGTTACCTTTGTTGATGACTATTCAAGGATGACTTGGATGTTTTTAATGAAAGATTGTTCTGAGCTTTTTCCTATCTTTCAATTATTTTTTAAAGAAATTGAGGTCCAGTTTGGATGTGTTATACGAACTTTACAATCTGATAATGCCATGGAATATGTCAAAGGTGCTATTTCTCAATTCTGTGACTCTCATGGCATTTTGCACCAAACGTCTTGTTCTTATACTCCTCAACAAAATGGTGTTGCAGAACGAAAAAATAGGCATTTAATTGAAATAGCTCGAACATTAATGATCCATATGCATCTTCCCAATGCATTTTGGGGAGATGCCGTTTTAACTACTTGCTATTTAATTAATCGTATGCCATCTTCCATTCTTAACTGGAAGAGTCCTTTTTCCATTGTTTTTCCTACCCGTCCATTATTTGCATTTATGCCTCGTGTTTTTGGCTGTGTGTGCTTTGCTCATGTATTACGTCCTGGCACCGATAAATTGTCTCCCCGTGCCATTAAATGTGTCTTTATTGGTAACTCTCGAACTCAAAAAAGTTATAAATGTTGGGATCCTAGCACTTATAGTGCTTTTGTGTGTATAGATGGTACCTTTTTTGAGGACACTTCTTACTTCTCTTCATGTGGTTCGTCCTTAAATACTGATTTGTTGCTTCCATTGCCTATTGTGTCTACTTCAACTGAGTATGTCACACCACAACCCCTTCAAGTGTATAGTTGACGACTGCAGGAAGCTTCCCACCAATTGCCTACTTCTCGTGAGGTCCCTCCTCCTACTGAGGATCTCCTTATTGCCGTACGCAAAGGTACTCGATCCTGTGTTACTCCACATCCCATTTCTAACTTCGTCTCTTATAATCATGGATCACCATCTCTCTTGCTTTTTATCCCAATTGTCTATCACTGTTGATCCTAAGAATTTGCAGGATGCTCTTTCTAATCCAGATTGGCGACAAGCAAAGATAAATGAAATGTATACCCTTCATCATAATGGGACATGGGATCTTGTTCCCTTACCTCCCGGTTCCAAACCGGTTAGTTGTAAGTGGGTCTACACTGTCAAATATCTCCACGATGGTTCTATTGAGCATTTGAAAGCTCGACTTGTTGCAAAGGGGTACACCCAGACCTATGGTGTTGATTATGATGAGACTTTTTCCCCTGTTGCTAAGATTTCTTCTATTCGGGTACTTATTTCCATTGCTACCAATTATCACTGGCCGTTGTTTCAATTAAAAGTGGAAAATGCCTTCTTACATGGTGTTGAAGAAGTTTATATGGAGCAACCACCTAGGTTTGTTGGTCAGGGGGAGTATCGTCACACTGTTTGTCGCCTTAAAAAGGCTCTGTATGGATTGAAACAATAACCTTGGTTTGGAAAATTCTCTGAGGCGGCATTAGAATTTGGTCTTAGCAGATGCCAGACGGATCATTCGGTATTTCACTAGCGCACTAAAGCTGGCTTCATTTTTCTTGTGGTGTATGTAAATGATATTGTGATCACAGGTGATGGTTCTGAAGGCATTGCTAAGTTAAAGTTGTTTTTACAAAATTAGTTCCACGCTAAAGACTTGGGTAAACTTAGGTATTTCTTGGGTATTGAAGTTGCTAGTTCCAAGGAAGGTATAAGTTTATCTCAATGAAAATATGTGTTGGACTTATTAGAAGAAACGGGTATGTTAGGTGGTCGTCGAGTTGATACTCCTATGGATCCAAATACAAAACTCGTGTCTGATGAGGGTGATCTATTTAATGACCTAGGCAGATATCGTCACCTTGTTAGGAAATTAATTTATCTCATTACCACTCGACCTGATATTTCATATGCAATTAGTGTCGTAAGTCAGTTCATGGGAGCTCCTAGAATGCCACATTGGAATGTTGTTCTTCGGATTATCCGATATCTCAAGCAAGTTCCAGGTTTTGGGTTGCTATATAAATCAAATGGTCATCTCAGGGTGGAAGGTTTTTCAGATGCTAACTGGGTTAGTTCTCCTTCAGATAGGAGATCTACTACAAGCTACTGCACATTTGTAGGAGGAAATCTTGTTACATGGAGAAGTAAAAAGCAAACAATAGTAGCTCGATCTAGTATTGAAGCTGAGTACAGGGCAATAGCCCATACCACTAGTGACTTGACATGGATACAACATTTTCTAAAGGAACTTGGGTTGATAGTTGAAGCTCCTATTCCTTTATTTTGTGACAATCAAGCAGCTGTTCACATTGCATCAAATCCTGTGTTCCATGAGAGGACCAAACATATTGAAGTTGATTGTCACTTCATTCGAGAAAAAATATTAAGTGGGAGCATCTCTACTCCATTTCTGAAGTCTTTGAAGATCAATTAGCTGATATGTTTACCAAAGCAATGGATCATAATCGGTTAAGGACTATCTGTTCTAAGCTAGGATTATTTGATATATATTCTCGAGCTTGAGGGGGAGTGTTGGAACATTTATGTATATATATATATACGTTGGGCAGATTTGTAATTTACTTATAGTTTGTGGCCTTAGTATAGGGTTTTAAAAAAAGGATAATGGGCTTGAAAAACGTGGCCATTAGATGTCTCCTATTTGTAGTTTGAATCACGTAGAGGTAGGGAGTGGATTACCAGCATCTTGGTGGGGCTAATGCACTCAATCTTTGTGGCTCATCTCAAATCTACGTGAAGACCTTTTGCCTTTTCCCAAATCTAACTGAATTGTCAATAACAATAATGCATCCACAACATAAAAGTGAAGCAGAACAGAGACAGAATTCTGACTCGGACCTCCATCCTTGCAAACCAAACACAGCCTAACTAAAATCCGTAACTCTATAGTACCCACTATAACTTCTGAATTCTGATTGGTTCCAACAGGCCCCTCCAACTAGTGTAAAATATCCTAAGACAGCTCCTCACTGGAAAGAAATTTTACCAAACCTTATGACTCATGCCAAACCTTCAAGAAACCCTATAGAATGACTTCCAGAATTTTACATAAATTGTTCACAATAAACTTATGAAAGAAAAAGTGGCAAGTGCCACCATGCTAGAGCTCAGATAATTAGATTCTACTGCACAGGAACATGTTTTAGTATCTAAATTTTCATGATGTATGAAAACTAACCGATCCATCCATGGAGCTTGCAAGGAAGTACTGGTCATACAACTGAAGTGAGACTAAACTACAATTTCAGAACCAAAGTAAGAGCTGCAATAAGTAAAATAAATGAATAAAAAACTAGCTTAATAAATGTTATAAAGGCTTACTAACCAGGAAATAGATGAAGGCATAAAAATGTTATGAGTGTGATATATGTTCCCTTTCAGCTGCACAAATGAGACACTGATCCATCAGCAATAAGCAGACTTTCATTGCACAGAGCAATTCTAAGTAAGTGCCTTTGGAAAATTCAGGAGTACATAATATTCACGAAATAACATGGTTTTGTGCAAATTTTATTAGAACTTTGATGTAAATGTAAACTGTTGTGTCCAGAAGTTCCAAGAGTTAGCTCATCAACAGCTCACGAAGCTAAAGAGAGAACTAACTAAGCAGAAGAAGAGTGCTGTTTCAATTTCAAAATTATAACTATTGTAATACAATTCAAGGATGGACAAAAAAAAATAAATAAATAACAATTCAAGGGCCAAGGGTTGTAATTGATTCTAGGACAAACACATATTTAAGGGTTCATAGCAAAAAAATCACTTAGATCAAACTATTGTTGCAAAATCACGTTTTAGTTTAAAATAAATAAATAAATCTTTTCCCAGATATGAAGAAAAATAAAAAGAAAAACAAATAACACCAGAAAAACATACCTCAAACCACTGTCTAGAAAATTTTCGATCACTTCTGCTTGAAGGCTCACTGATTCCACAAGAAGGGTAAGAAATTCGATGTCTTGTAAGTCTAGCAGAAAAATCTTCTGGTTTCTGGCGAGCATCAACCGTCACAATTGCTCCATTTCTTAGACCACATAAAACAATGTTACCCTGAAACAAGAAATTAATTTATTGAGTTGCAAGGTGGGATTTGTTTGCAAGGAAGGAGTGTTAATCACATCCACACGTATCGCAGATCCAACTAGTGGGTGTGAAGGGTTTTGAAAAAAAAAATTTGGACTTGTTTTTTATCTATTGCAGTCTCGATTGGTGGTTTTTTTTTTTTTTTTTTTTTTTTTTTTTTGTGTTCGCGGAATTCTGCAACTTCGTCATTCGCGATTCTGGTATGGTCTACTTTGTTGCTTTCTAGGGTTTGTGTGGTGACTGTGTGGTTGTTTTTTTATGCATCTCAGAAGACGGTAATCTTTTTAGTTGAAGATTGTGTTAGAGAGATGGTTCTCTACGTATTTTGTTGATGCTTTTGTTTATGAGGATTGTATACCCAGAAACTACTTGATAAAATGTTTGGCTCAGAGGTGACTTCAAAAGAAGTTGGGTCTTCTCCTAGTCTGACTCCAGTATTGGGAGGTAGTAGTGATCACCATCCAGGCCCTTGCATTACAACTGTTAGGCTGGACGAGATGAACTATATGGAGTGGGCTCAATCTGCTCATACGCATATCACTGGTCATAGGATGATTGACCATATCGAAGGGATTGTCACGTATCCCTCCAAGAAAGATCCTGAATTCAAAGAATGGAGTGCAAATAATGCACTAGTTATGACACGGTTGTTGTAGTCAATGCAACCACAGATCAGCAAAGGATTTCTGTTTGTGAAAACAGCTAAAGAGCTATAGACGGCTGTAGAAGAGATGTATTCCTTGGATTCAAGTAGGAAGACCAAACTCTTGCTACATATTACCACACTCTACATAGTAAATGGGAAGAGTTAGATCACTACCAAGACTACATACCTGTGTGTGCAGCTATTGTTAAAGCATTTCATGCTATGGTAGAAAGGAATCAAATCTATGATGCTGTGTTTGGTGTGCACGAATGGAATAGAATGCCCATTCCAATCATTCATTTGTTTGGTACGCAATTTAAAGTGGGAATGGCCATTTCATTAGAATGAAAATCCATTCCAGAGAATGAAAATCCATTTCATAACTAAACCTATGGAATGGCCATTCCATTCCCATGTAAATTTTTTTTAAAATCAACTTGCCAAAAAAACCCTTATGTTCCAAGTCCATAAATCACCACCATCTTCCACCATAACCACCTCCACCTTTCACCACCACCACCACCACCACTACCAACGCCTTCCACCACCGCCACCACCTTTCACCACTGGCACCGCCTTCCTTTGCCCCAACCATTGCCACCGCCGCTACCTTTCACCACCGCTACTGCCGCCACCTTCCACCACCACCACTACCGCCTTCCACCGCCACCACCACCACCGCCATCACCTTTCACCACCTTCCACCACCATCGCCTTTCACCACAGCCACCACCTCCCACCACCACTGCCGCCACTACCTTTCACCACCGCCGCCACCTTTCACCACCATCACTACCTTCTACCACCACCGCTACCGCCTTCCACCAGCACCACCTCCTTTCACCACCGCCACCGCCTTCCACCACCATTGCCGCCTCCACCTTTCACCGCTGCCGCCTCCACTTTCCACCACCGCCGCCACCGCCTTCCACCACCATTGCCGCCACCGTCTTTCACCAGCACCACCGCCATTACCTTTCACTACCACATTTCCACTGCCTTCCACCACCACCATAATCACCTCAATTTGCTTCCACCACCGCCACCTACACCACTATCTCCTTCCACCAATGCCGCCTTCCACCATTACCAACACCGCCGCCTTCCACCATTGCCGCCGCCGCCGCCTTCCAACACCACTACCGCTTTCCACCTCCACTACCATCCACCACTGCCACTACCACCATTTATTTTTTAAAAATTATAGAAGAATGTCATTTTGTTAATTTAATTTAGTTTTTACTAACAGGGATATTTTGGATAACTCAATTTGAATTTTATTCCATTCTAAATTTAAAATTGGTCCAACCAAACACTAGAATGGTTATTATCATTCCATTCCTACACATTTCATAGTTACAACTAAACAATAGAATGAGAATGGCCATTCCATTCCTGCAAACCAAACACAGCATGAGTTCTTGGGTGGTCTACAACCAAGATACGAGCATGCAAGGGTACAACCGAGATACGAGCATTTTCATTCCATTCCCACTTGCATTCCATTCATTTCCCATTCCCACTTGCATTCCATTCCATTCCTGCAAATCAAACACAGCATGAGTTCTTGGGTGGTCTACAACCGAGATACGAGCATGCAAGGGTACAAGTGTTAGGCAGGTATCTAGCCCCTACTTCTATTAGAGATGTGTTTTTGTATATCCAGGCTAAGGAGAGTAGAATGAAGGCCATGTCTGCACCTATATACACTAAGCCTGAGCCAGAAGTACCATTGTTGGAGAGGTCTGCTCTTGCCACACAACAATGGAACAAGGCCAATCCTCCAAAAGGAGGGAAGCAGGATGACAAGACCAAGTTGAGGTGTGATCACTATGGGCGTACGTGCCACACTAGGGAAACATGCTGGAATCTACACAGTCGCCCTACTCTAGCTCCTGCTCATGCGAATGCTAGGCCAAGGTTTGGTCCATTTAGGGGGTTATGTACGGCACATATTACAGAGCGTGAGACTGCTTCTACTGGTCATGCCTCCTCAGGGCCACCGAGTCTTTGCCCGGGGCTGAACTTGATGCTCTTTGACATCTACTAGCACAACATTCCTCCATTTCCACCTCTAACTTCGCTCAGACAGGTACCTCTCATTCGGCACATTAGGTTCCCACATTATCTGGTGGGCTACCCTGAATCATTGATTCAAAAGCCACTGATCACATGACTGGTATGACATCTGATTTTTCTTCATACAATCTATATTGGTAAGGATAAGGTTAAAGTGGCTGATGGCACCTTCACCTCCATTAAGGGGAAGGGCATTGAATATGCCTCTCCTAATCTTACCTTATCCTATGTTCTTCATGTCCCAAAGTTTACCAATAACCTCCTTTTTGTCAGTCATATTACAAAAGGCTTGAATTGTAGTGTAACCTTTTTTCCATTTCACTGTGTCTGTGTGTTTCAGGACTTGGACACGGGAAGACGATTGGAAGTGGACATAAGGACAATGGCTTATATTTGCTGAACGCGAGACCAACTTCTTATTATGTTGTAAATCAATCTAGTGTTAAGATAGTAATGTCAATAAAGATCTGTTAATGCGATGGCATAATAGACTATGTCATTTACCTCTTCTTGTTTTGAAGCAAATGCTTCCCCAGTTTGCTTCTGTTGAATCTTTTGAGTTAAATTGTGAAACTTGCGTTCTTGCCAAACAATGTCGTGTTTCTTATCCCACTAGTATTAATAAAAGTACAACATCTTTGCAGCTTCTTCATTCTGATGTGTGGGGTCCTGAATCTACTACTTCGTTACTTGGTTTTCCTTACTTTGTTGTGTTTGTTAATGACTTTAGTCGATATCACTTGGCTTTATCTTATGAAAACCAAAGATGAAGTTCATTCCATTTTTAAAACCTTTCATAGGATGGTATGTACTCAGTTTGGTTGTCCCCTCAAAATCCTTCAATCTGAAAATAGAGGAGAGTTTAAGTATGGTGGTCTTGCCTCCTTTTTTTGCTGATAACGGGATTGTCCATCAAACCTTTTGTGTCGATACACCACAACAGAATAGTGTAGCTGAAAGAAAACACCGTCATATTACGGAGGTGACCCGTTCTCTTATAATTGGAATGGGAGTGCCTAAAAGTTTTTTTTTTTTTTTTTTTTTTTTTTTTTTTTTTTTATAAGTAAAAATATATTAGAAAAACGTTCAAAATGGGAACACGTCCCTAATACAAGAAGAAAAAAGATCTAAGGACCAATAACATCCAAAAGATCAAAGAAATCATCAATCGAGGAGCATGTGCTTCCTCTTACATAACAGAACAGAGAACGAAGAATATGAATTTTTAAATTAGCTAAAGACGATTATTTTCCTTCAAAGGTTCTGTTATTCCTCTCACGCCATAAACACCACCAGACACAATGTGGAACAATCCTCCAATAATCACGAGCTTGTTCTTCAACAGACATCTTCTCCAAGCGTTAATCAATTGTGAGGAGTGCTTAGGCATTACCCAAAAAACGCCAAACATGCAAAAAATAAAATTCGAACAATCATACGCCACAGGACAATGCAAAAGAATATGATCCACATATTCACTATCAGCTTTACATAAACAACACCAATTAACAATGATGTTGCCTCTCTTTCTCAAGTTGTCCAATGTCAAAATCTTTCCCAAAGTGGCAGTCCAAACGAAGAATGCAATTCTAAGAGGAGCTTTAGAACGCCAAACAGACTTCCAAGGGAACTCGTGACCAACGAAGTTGGACAAACACAAGAACATGGATCGGACACCATACCTACTATTGGAAATCTTATCTATAAGTTGACTCAACGATTATGGCAGATTTATTGGGTCTTCAATATAGGCTAATTTTTAGGGATTTTATTTTTTATTCTGATTTGATTTTATTCTCTTTATTTTGATTTTATTTTATTCTCTTTTCCATATTTGTAATTTTCCGCTTGTATATAATGATAGTCAGGCTCTCAAATTGAGTACGCCAATTTTACCAAATTACTTTTTGGTATCAGGGCCTCAAACCTACGCCTCCCCCATCTCTCTCTCTTTCACCGCCTCTTTTAATATCTCTCTCTATCTCGTTACAACCCCTTCCCTATTTTTTTTTTTCACAGACCTTCTCTCTTTTTCAGGTCGCTGTTGCGACAGTCCTAGGGGGAGTCAATCTCCTCTAGGTTCGACCCCTGTAGGGGTATTCCCTTAGTCTTTTTCATGCACTAAGGGTCAGAAGACGTGTTTGTAATTTTTTGGGGCTGCCGGGATATTCGGCAGCATTTTCTGATCAGACCGCTGTGTCTCCAGCTTCTTGGTTTGATCAAAATCAGGTTTATTCCTCCT